GGGGGGGGGGGGGGGGGGGGGGGGGGGGCAACACTTTTCAGTGATTTGTAGACATAAAGGAGTATTTTGAACTGGATTCGAAGGTGAACCGGTAACCAGTGCAGGGAGGCCAAAACTGGTGTAATGTGCTCTCTTTTGCCTGTACTGGTTAAAAATCGGGCTGCTGCATTCTGGACCAGTTGTAGTCGTGCAATGGAGGTCTGACTGATACCAAACAGGAGCGAATTGCAGTAATCAAGCCTAGATGTAATGAATGCATGTATTACTGTCTCCAGGTTATTTTTGGACAAAATGGGCTTCAGTTTAGACAGCCGCCTCAGTTGGAAGAAACATGATTTAACAATCATGTAAACATGATTGTTAAGTTTCAGGGAAGGGTCCATTATCATGCCCAGATTAGTGACTCTTTCTTTTTCTGACAGGGTAAGAGTGGAGAGGTCGATGCAGTGGTTTGTGATTGTGTTGTTGGGAGGGAACAACATGACTTCAGACTTATTTTCATTGAAACTTAAGAAATTTAAAGCCATCCAGTCCCTGATGTCAACCAGGCAGTCGAGCAGCGGTTGAATAGAGCATGTACCATTGTGTCTTAGGGGGGAGGAAATTTGACAGTCATCAGCGTAGAAATGAAAGGGCATGTTGTGTTTCCGGAAAATAGCACCAAGTGGCAGCAGGTATAAAGAGAATAGGAGGGGCCCCAGGATGGACCCCTGCGGAACCCCCCATTTAAGCTCTGCTGCTGCAGAACTAAAATCCTTGATGGAGACACAAAAGGATCTGTCAGCGAGGTAAGATCTGAACCAATTGAGGGCTGATCCTGTGATGCCCACCCACTGCTCCAACCTAGCAATGAGGATCTCATGGTCGATGGTGTCAAAGGCGGCTGTGAGGTCCAATAGGACAAGCAGCACAAAATCACCGGTATCTGTGAATCTGAAGATGTTGTTAAAGACCTTCAGCAGAGCAGTTTCAGTGCTGTGGAGAGGTTTAAAGCCAGATTGGAATAGCTCTAAGATGGCGTGATCCTCCAGGAAGCACTTCAACTGGGACTCGACTATTTTCTCCAGTAGTTTAGAAACAAATGGGAGTTTGGAGACAGGCTGGAAGTTGGACACGACTGAGGGGTCATGGTTTGGTTTTTTCAGGAGAGGCTGGACAGCAGCATGTTTAAAGGATTTTGGCACTATGCCAGTGGATAAACTACTGTTTACTATATCAAGAATGGACGGACCTAGAGTGGGAAAAACGTCCTTTAGTAGTCGAGGGGGAACCACATCAAAGGGGGAACCAGAAGGTTTCAAGCTGCACATGACCTGCTCTAGAGAAGACATTAGACATTTTCAGATGGAATTTTAAAAGAATGTGAAATTATTTACTGTGTCATTTACATTACATGTCACTTTCAATATTTTATAACAAACAGCATTATAAAAAGAAATAAACATGAGCACAGTTGTGTTTTGTGGTTTTAAGGATTAGACATATTTTAAAGTAAAACTCATTTTTGCTTTTCTATACTGCAAAGGTTATAAAGATTCAACAATTTTCAGTCAAGTCATCTGGACAGTTTTTTTTTTTTTTTTTTGCTGAAACGTTTCACCTTCCATCCGGAAGGCTTCATCTGTGTTGTGTGCTTCCTTGACTGATGAAGCCTTCCGGATGGAAGGTGAAACGTTTCAGCACAAAAAAACTGCCCAGATGACATGACTGAAAATTGTTGGATTGTATACCTGGATTATTGAGCATGGACTTTTTTTTGGTTATAAAGATTCTTATTAAAATACAAGGGTTTCATTTAGTTAAAAATACATATTTTATAGAGAAATGTACTGTAACGCCCCTCAGCGTGCAAAAACCCCAAAAAAAGCCACATCCGGTCGTGCGCTCTTTGGAGCCTTCATTAGTAGAACTGCCGAAAACAAGAAACTGGAGCTCCTGTCACAACTGCAACACGTGCTGTACTTTTTTTCTTCTTCTTTCAGCTGCTCCCTTCTTCAGGGGTCGCCACAGTGAACTAAGTCACACAAAGACTTGGCGATTATTTTTACGCCGGATGTTCTTCCTGACACAACCACAGACCACAGAGCTACTAGAGCCCTCTGAGTGGAGCAGAGAGCAGCCATCTAGGATGCCCAGGGGAGCAGATGGTGGGGGTTAAGGGTCTTGCTCAAGGGCCCAGAGTGGGGCAAATGAGGGTGGAGACAGGTGTGGGTGCTTCACCAATCCCACCCACATTTTAATGTTGGTACCAGAGTTGAACCAGCGATCTTCTGATCACAAACCTGATGGTTTGCTAGAATCTCCTAGAAGCCAACTGGGGATCTGTATCCAAGGCCTCACTGAACTCCCACATCCGAGCTTTTGCCTCAGTAACATCCAAGGCTGCGGACCGCTTGGCCCTCTGGTCCTCCCTCTGAAGTCCCACCAGTCAACAAAGTCCGATAGGACTCCTTCAGCTTGACAGCCTCCCTAACTCAGGGTGTCCACCATCGGTGATGGTTCGAGGGTGGCCACCACGAGAAGCACTGACAACCTTGCGGCCACAGCTCCACGCAGCCACCTCAATAATTGAATTGTGGAACATGGCCCACTCTGATTTGTCCTCCGCCTCAGCTGGGATGCAGTTAGCTCTCCTGGAGGTGTGAGATGAAAATCTTTCTGATGGGCTCTTCTGCCAGGCATGGCAAACCCTCCCTACACGTTCGGGTCTAGCAGGTCTGTCCGGCATCTTCTCCTGCCATCTGATCCAATTCACGATCAGGTGGTGATCAGTTGACAGCTCGGCTCCTCTCTTCAACCGAATGTCCAAAACAAACCGCCACAAATCAGATGACACGACTACAAAGTCAATCATTGATCTATGACTTATGGGCGTCTTGGTGCCAAGTGTAATTATGGACACCCTTATGTTCGAACGTGATGGAGAAACTATGACTAGCACAGAAGACCAACAACAGAACACCGCTCGGGTTCAGATCTGATTGGTTCGTAATGCAAAACCCTGATAGTGTTGTCGGTGGAAAAGAGAGTAGCTCCTACAGATAAGGAGCATTTCATCTTGGGACAAATTGTGATCGCTGATTGTAGTTGCTGGCGAGCCTACTTGACTATTGGCATTGAAGATTCGACTTGTGCCAAAAAAAAAAAAAAAAAAAATCAGATTTTACTGGCCAGTTTCAGAGTGTCATAATTTATTCCATGTTTATTTCAAATTTATTCAATATTTTTGGTGAATCCAAGGTTTGAGAACTAAACTTCCTTACAAAATAGTAATTCTTTATTTTTCAGAGTTTACATTTCAGGGTATTTGAGCCCAGTACAGTACTCCAAAAGGTTCAAGAACAGCATTTAATTTTATTTGGGTATGTTTTATTCAGGCGTTTTCAGCGTCTTGTGTGGCGACACTGTCCTCACCTCAGGAAAAAGGCAGGAGATATTCCTAGTTTTTATTTTACAGTCTGGTGAGTCATTATACGAGTATAGACGATCTTTACCAACAGCCATTTTGCTTTCCCTTTCCCATAATGCACTGGTGCTGTCAAAACAACACTTCGCCATTTCAGTTTTGAGTGGGGCTTTGAGTAATTCTCGCAGGAATTAGGTCAGCCAAGCGAAGGTTGCGCTTTCTTATTTTTTGTGGTCAGACGGCTCGGTAATTGAGTTCCGATGCGAGTTATCTGGTTGGTGCGAATGAGTTTTTCCTTCGCGGGTCCGGGCTGAAGAGTGAAGTCGGTGTGCGCGGATTTTCCTGAGAGCAGCTACTGAGCTAGCTTGCTAGCTGTGTGTAAACAACAAGGTAGGAGGCTTGGCCAAGACACTGGCTTGCAGTGCTTTAACTTAACAACGCAAACATGTCAACATATAATTACTTGTTGTTATACTAATAATGTATCACTTATGTAGCCATTTTTCTTGATAGAGTTTATAGTAGTGATGCTAAACAAGCTATCGTAAACTTAGCTTAGTTGCATTCATTTCATTCACTCATGCAGATTAACAACACTACCGGCCGGTTCATCTGCAAAAGTTGCACATTTTCATCTTTATGTATTCATTTTGATAAAACAACTATCCTACATGGGTGACCTGTAAAAACCATATAACTCTATCACGATTTCTATTAGGCCTCATAAAGTCTCATTAGTTTAAGCTAATGTGTATCAGGGTATATTGAACGATTATAGTTCTTTTTTTAATAACGTGATGGAAATTTCTGATTTTGTAATTCATTTAAAACTTCATCAAACACAAATTAAAATCCAACACGTCCATGTTTTAATTGTATTTGGATATAATTACTCTTTTTTTGTGTAATTTAACAATCACATTTAATCTAGGAAGCAGACCACTGAGCAAAATAAATAATAATCAAAATAAATCTGATATAAAAGTACAACTAACAAGAAGATGCTATTCTTTATTTTACAGGCTTCTTTGCCCAAACTAAATAACACCACGTCAAAAATATTGTTTCAAATTGAAATGAATGAATGAATGCTCATAATAAAACATTGATAGTTTAAAAACCCCTAAACTGTTATTCTCTCAGGAATTCTAGAATTGCACCGCTCAAGGCGGCTGCATGTTGGAGTAGCTCTGTTACTTTCATTCTGAGATATTACTTGTGAAAACTTTAATTCCTCTTTTTTCTGGATATAAATCACTTTTTTTTTTTAGATGATCATTTCCTCTGGTGTCAGATGCTGTGCAGCTGGAAGGATTTTTACAGAAATATCTTTGCTTTTGGACATTTGTTATGATACGTAACCATAACAACAAGGTTGTTTTTGTTTTTTCTAAGCAACACTGTCAGGTGTTATAAGGTCACAATGCACCTTCAATTTTCCAATATTATTTTATTGAAAAACATACCCTTGAACAATATCCTAGAAACAATACAAGCTTGTTTTAACTGGCCATGAGGTAGTGCTCTGAAATATAAATGAAATTCAGACAATTGTTATTAAAACTTTAAAAATCAGTAAAATCGGTTTCTCATGTAAGTATCGTCCGATTTCTCAAAATTAAGGAAATTGGGGCCGATAAATCGATTTATCGATGCACCCCTCTCCAAAGCTCAAATAATATCTCAACTATAGCCCCAAATCCCAAATGAGTTGAAAAGGAGGTGTCGTGGATGCAGAGCAGGAGCAAAGAAGAGAGGGAAAGAGAAAAGAATGAAGTTCAAACCATCTCTTCCATCGATCATGATGGGCAATGTGAGATTGCTGGGAAACAAGTTGGATGAACTTCAAGCCCTAACAAGGACCCATCCAGAGTATCGGGAATGCAGTGTTATGTGTTTCACTGAGACATGGCTACAGGATCATATCCCCGACTCCAGCGTTTCTCTGCCAGACTTTCTGACCATAGGAGCAGATAGAGATTTAAAGAGGAGTGGCAAAAGCAAAGGAGGTGGGTTGGCAGTGCTTGTGAACAACAGATGGTGTAATCATGGACATGTTACTGTGAAGTGTCATCTCTGCAGTCCAGATACTGAACTGTTAGCACTAAGTTGTCGTCCATATTATTTGCTAAGAGAGTTCACCAGTGTTATTTTGGCAACTGTTAATATTCCACCCAATGCTGTCGCTGAGACTGCGTGTGATGTCATCAGCTCAGAGGTTGCTAAGCTTCAGACACAACACCCTAGTGCGTTTGTTGCAATATTTGTGGATTTTAATCATGTCGCACTCTCTGCTACACTTCCGATATTCCAACAGTTTGTCAGCTGCTCTACCAGAGAAAACAAAACGCTGGACTTGTTTTATGCAAACGTCAAGGATTCATACATCGCTAAAGCAAGACCTCCTCTTGGCAAATCAGATCACAATCTTGTGCTTCTCTGCTCAAATTATAAACCCCTTGTTCAGAGACAACCTGCAATAACGAGAACAGTGAGACAATGGTCAACGGAAGATGAAGAAGCCCTGCGGGGTTGTTTTGAGGCTACAGACTGGGATGCACTGTGCCAGCCAAATGGAGAGGACATCAATGCCATGACTGAGTGTGTGACCGACTATATAAACTTCTGTGTAAACAACACCATCCCCACCAGAACAGTGAGATGCTTCCCCAATAACAAACCCTGGATCACCACTGACCTGAAGGAACTGCTAAACCAGAAAAAAAAGAACCTTCAGGGAGGGAGACGAGGAATTATTGAGGAGTATACAGAAGCAACTAAAAGTCAAGATCAGAAACGGCAAGGAGGTGTACAAGAAGAAGCTGGAGAGCAAGCTCCAGCAGAACAATATCAGAGAGGTGTGGTCAGGGATGAAAAAGATCACAGGCTTCAAGCAAAAGGAGGATCAGAAGGATGGAAGCCTGGACAGAGCCAAACTTGGCCCACATGACTAAACAAACAAGCACACACCAGGACCCACTGCAGTTTGCTTATCGGCGTGGACTTGGAGTTGAAGATGCCATCATACACCTGCTTCAGCAAACTCACTGTCATCTAGAAAAGGCAGACAGCACTGTGAGAGTCATGTTCTTTGATTTCTCCAGTGCATTTAACACAATCCAGCCTGATTTGCTTTGTCAGAAACTTCAGAAGACTCGGAGGCCTCAACAATCACCTGGATCAAAGACTACCCGACGGACAGGCCACAGTTTGTGAGACTGAAGGGTTGTGTGTCTAACCAGGTGGTCAGTAGCTCAGGAGCACCACAGGGGACTGTACTCTCACCATTCCTTTTCACTCTGTACACCTCAGATTTCCAGTACAAAACAGACTCCTGTCATCTGCAGAAATATTCTGATGACTCTGCAGTAGTTGGGTGTATCAGAGATGGACAAGAAGCTGAGTCCAGGGAACTGGTGGACCACTTTGTGGCATTGTTTGGAAACAATCATCTCATCTTGAATGTGAACAAAACAAAGGAGATGATTGTAGATTTCAGGAGAATCAGGAACAGATCCAACCCTATTTCCATCATGGGAGAAGAAGTGGAGGTGGTGGAGAAGTATAAATACCTTGGGGTTCACCTGGACAACAGACTGGACTGGAAATGCAACAGTGAAGCTGTCTACAAGAAGGGACAGAGCAGACTGTACTTCTTGAGGAAGCTGAAGTCCTTCAACGTTTGCAGCAAGACGCTGCATATCTTCTATAAGTCTGTTGTAGAGAGTGCCATCTCTTCTGCCATCATCTGCTGGGGGAGCAGCACCAGAGCAAGTGACCTTAAAAAAGATCACCAAGCTCATAAAGAAGGCTGGCTCAGTTCTGGGGACTCCTCTAAAACCTTTGGAGATGATTGTACAAAGAAGGATTCTTCATAAAATGAAGAACATTATAGACAACCCTCAGCATCCTCTTCATCAGACTGTCATACAACAACAATGTCTTCAGTCAGAGGCTTCTTCAGATCTGCTGTAGGACAGATGCTACCAGAGATCCTTCCTGCCCACAACCATCAGCATCTATAACAACTCTTTAACGAAACCAGGATGATGAGTTACCACTACATATAATTTCCCTCTGGGATTAATAAAGTATTTTTGAATTGAATTGAAAAAGCCTTAGGGCTTCGTTGCTTTGTCACAGAAAAAAAAATCCTTATTACTGGATCGAAGTAATTGGAAATAAATAGAACCAGATTTATACAAGTAGTATATCTCTTTTATAGGACAAAATAAAGTTCCTTAAACTTTTTAAAACACACTTTAAAAAGTAAAACCGCACAAAAGAAAAGTAAATTAATAAAAACATTTAAAAAAATAATTTCTGTAGTATTGTCACATATTTGGGAGAAAGACAAAAGCTACTGTAAAATGTGTTGTGTAGCAAATAGCTCGATCATTGTACTAAGTAACCTAATTAATTGCAAATTATATGGCTCATAAATTAAGCAGAACTGGGAAATGGGAAAAGATGAATTTAAATTTAAATGAGCTGAATCTAAAAAAACAAGCAAACAGTAAGGTGGGAATAAAGTACAAGGAAGACTGTTTGATACATTGTGTCAGACCTGTGAGATAAGAAGATAAATTTAAAAGCTTTCAATGTTAAAGTAAGTTTTAACTTAACTGATTATAAAAACAATCATAAAACTCAACTATCAGATCATATTTTAGCATGTTCATCTACTTAAGTCCCAGGAAATGTCAGTATCTAAAGGCCAAGCCTGATGGCTCTGACCTTCCAGCGAGTTACTATCAACTTTATTGATTTATTTATTAACCTTTATTTAACCAGGCAAATCCCATTGACATCACAGATCTCTTTTGCAAGGGAGGCCTGGGCCTGAAGGCAGACTAACATCATCATGATTGGGCTCAGGAATACCTCGACAAATGATCTCTCAACCCAGAGTCTACTGCATCCAGAAATGTAACCTGAACCAGTTTGACTGCATAAATACCTCTCAGTTTTCAGCACATCGGCATGTCTGAAATGGAAAAAAAAGGATGTATTTTGTTCAAAATGAGTCTAATTAGTTTTTGATTTTCAGAAAAATGGATTTCAAGGTTTATGGTTCTGAAGTTGAGAGAGGCTGTCTTGACTCTTTACAAGCAAAATGTGTTAATGATGGCATTTGATATTTTCTGGAGGTGCTTCAGAGTTCACAATAAGAGTAACTTATGTATCAAGGTACTATTGATTTATAGTGATGTAATGACATTTTAGGAGGACTTTATGCTGGAATAAAGATAAATAATTATCAAATAAAATCTGCCAAACAGAAAGAAAGGGAAAAAGACACATTTATTCCTTAGTTGTTTTTTTTTTTTTTGCTGTGATGTACATTTATAGGTGAGTAGGACTCTCTGGACTTTAAAAATCATTTCATATCATCTTTTAGGATGAAACGGATGAAAGGAGGAGAGGAGGTCAGCGATAACCGCACCGGCGAAAGCTCACCAGACGTGTGCAAGAAGGTGCGGACGCAGATGAGCGAGGAGCCTGAGGCAGTGGTGACCAGTGGGTCGCGGGACTGTGACTGGTCTCTGCTGCCTCAGGAGCTTCTGCTGCACATCTTCCAGTACCTTCCACTGCTCGACCGGGCATATGCCTCCCAGGTGTGCCGGGGGTGGAACCAGGCTTTTCACATGCCCGAGCTGTGGAGATGCTTCGAGTTTGAGCTGAATCAGCCGGCGAGCTCGTACCTAAAAGCCACACATCCAGACCTCATCAAGCAGATCATAAAGAGGCACTCCAACCACCTCCAGTACGTCAGCTTCAAGGTAAATATAGAAAATCACATTTTTATTTTTTTATTTTAAGCTTACATTTAGTTTTTTAATCTTCTTGAAGTGTTATGCAGTGATTTCTTTTCTTCAGGTGGACAGTAGCACAGAGTCTGCAGAGGCGGCGTGTAATATTCTTTCTCAGTTGGTGAACTGCTCGCTCAAGACCTTGGGGCTCATCTCCACAGCCCGGCCCAGTTTCATGGAGGTTCCAAAGGTATAGTTAAAGTCAACAATCGTAGTTTAAATTTGTATCCCATTTTTTCTGTGTTAGTATTAAAAAGTTAAACAAAATGGCACACAATTTAATGCCACATTTTTTTTTGTTTTGTTTTATTTGGCATTGGTTATAGATTTTCTTTGTTTTGAAATTGTGACAATGAAGCAAATATTCTCATCTACAGATAAAGCTACAAAAATGTCTGTTTTGCACCCAGACAAGGTCAGATGTACTTCAACTGGCCTTAAAAAGATACAGGATGTTATTTGCAAAATTGTTGTTTGGTATTTGTGAGTGCACAGAGTTCTCTTCGTGAACTTAAAAAAAAAAATCTGAGTAACCCGGTAAACGGTCACATGTATTTGTGGAAACTCTTAATGCTGACCTCAGAGAAGCCTGAAACCTTCAACGTACATGTGAGTGGTCTATGAGCACGGGAAGAACCGTCTTTTTAAAATTATTTTTAAGAACAAGGTACATTTTACAAACATACCGACTCCTTGCTATATATTAAACATTTAAACATTTTATTTTTAGACTTTTCTCACTTATCTGAAGCTGATTATCATTGTATATGTTATTACATACTTGAATGAAGGGTTTTGAGCTTGCCTAAACATGTTTTGGTGCAGTTTAGTAACCTTTTTGTCTTATTACACTGCGTAAGCTACAGTTTTCTGTCATCAAGCTGTTAAATTCTGCTTAGTGGTTTGTGACGCAATGAAAATATCTTGCTGGTTCTGTCATCGGTAGCCAATTCCTAGAGGTTACAAGTACTTATATTGCTATTTGTTGTTATAGAATTATAATTTATGTAGATTAATTATGCGTTTAGGATAATCTTGTGCAGTTAACTCATTCACGTCACCAGTATTGCAGTCAGTACTTTAAGTTTTTGTGAACAAACTGGACACAAATTAGTTTTTTTTAAATCTAATGTTACAAAGATTTATTTTAGAAAAAATTGTATTGAAATCACTGTTGTGTTTGTCCTTGTCCACAGTCTCATTTTATCTCGGCTCTCACTGTGGTGTTCGTCAACTCCAAATCGTTGTCTTCCCTGAAGATTGACGACACGCCGGTTGACGATCCCTCCCTGAAGGTGCTGGTAGCCAACAACAGTGACACCCTGAAGCTGCTGAAGATGAGCAGCTGTCCTCATGTCTCCCCTGCAGGTACAGTGAGAGGAACACAGACGTGCTGAACCTTATAATAGCAGGTTTCTTATGTTATTGTCTTCTGTTATAGTCACGGGGCAGCTGGTGTTGGGGGTTGAACGACTACATAATTTTAAAACTCAACATTAACATAATAAAACTTGAGTAGAACTCGAGTAGTTGATGACGTCATAGAATCTCAAGATGAAATAAATAAAACCACAAAAAAAGTCATTATTTACATAAAAAGACCAACAAAACATTGGGAGCGTATATTATGCTCCTACCATTTATCACTTATTTATTTATCATTTATTACTGCAAATAAGTCACAGGAAAAACAAAACTATTAGTTTTTATTATTAAGCTGCAAAAGTGAAAGAAATGTGCGACACACAAATAACGAAACTAAAAACAGTGGGGCAGACAAGCACCCTGCACCACTGCCCGCAGTGTTGCGCATTAGGTTTATTAGGTTTAGTTGTAGAGATTAATATGTTTTGCCTTTTGTTTGTGAAACAAGGTCAGAGGAAGCTGGTTCTCGTTCGTTGATTGAACCCGGTGTTGCACCATATTCTGTGACCTGTGCATGCAACACCACCTCCTATGGTCACAATATACGGTGGTCACAAACTGTGGTGTAACACCGGTTTGCAGAGCTCCAAACAGGAAGTTGATTCATTTTCTGTTTCCTTGCGGTAGTTGAACCAGAAGATTCATCTTTAGTGAAATATTTCCATACTATTGATGCATTTCTACCTGTTTGCCAAGACCGGGCCTGCTCCACGCCATCCGTCTGCTTGGAGGAATCTATTTTGTAACCCGCGCCCGGTACAGATCACATGATGCAATGACATCACTACGAATACTCGACGGGAAATTTAAAAACTTGATGGATGTCTTAGGAATCGATGTGTAGATTACTTGAGTAGTCTGTTAAAGCCGTAGCTGGTGTGTATGTCCAGCAGTCACTGTGTGAGAGGCGGGGACACTTGGGACAGGTCTCCAGTTCATCACAGCAACACATGGAGACAAAAGCCATTCACACTTTAAGCCACACCTATGGAAATTTAGAGTTACCAATTGTTGTAACATGCATGTTTTTGGTCTGTGGATGCAGCCCACAGAAGGATCAGGAGACGAACCATTGACTCTCGCTGAGAGGCATCAGCTCTAAACAGTGAGCTGTCGTGCCTCTTCATCACGAGGGTGTTTCCTATTTTAAGTCACAAGACTAGTTTGTCTTTTGGTTTTAGAGCCTGTAGTTTTAGTTCTGCTGTCTTCAGCGTTGTGGTTTCATACTGTGGCAGTAATTCTGAATAAACTGTTATGTGGTTTCTTGCTGACACATTTTCCTGAGAATTTTTAATTTTTATTTCCAGCACAGTCTGTTGATTGAGCTGTAGCTTTCCAGCCAAATACAACGGATGCTCTTGTTCTCAAACATGAAATTAAAAACAGGGTTGATCCAGTTGGTTTGCACTAAAAATGACCGGTTCTGTTTCTGCTTTCAGGAATCCTGTGTGTGGCAGACCAGTGTCACGGTTTGAGAGAGCTTGCGCTGAACTACCACCTCCTCAGTGATGATCTCCTCCTGGCCCTCTCCTCAGAGAAACACGTTCACCTGGAGCACCTGCGTATTGATGCGGTGAGCGAGAACCCAGGCCAGCACTTCCACACCATCAAGAAGAGCAGCTGGGACGCCATGGTGCGCCACTCACCCAAATTTAACCTGGTCATGTACTTCTTCCTCTACGAGGAAGAGTTTGGACCGTTCTTCAACGAGGAGGTCCCTGTCACACACCTCTACTTTGGCCGCTCGGTCAGCAAGGAGGTCCTAGGTCGGGTTGGCCTGCATTGCCCCCGTCTGGTAGAGCTGGTCGTGTGCGCCAACGGTCTGCGCCCTCTGGATGAGGAGCTGATCCGCATCGCCAAACACTGCACTCAGCTCTCGGCCATCGGCCTGGGGGAGTGCGAGGTGTCCTGCAGCGCGTTTGTGGAGTTTGTGAAAATGTGTGGCAGGAGGCTGTCCCAGCTGTCCATCATGGAGGAGGTGCTGATTCCAGATCACAAATACTCACTGGATGAGATTCACTGGGAGGTGTCGAAGCACCTGGGCCGGGTCTGGTTCCCAGACATGATGCCGACCTGGTAGGAGAACGCCGAGGGCAGAGTTCAGCACGTCGTCGTTCTTGTGGAACAATAACGGGTCGAAAAGTGTTTAAACTCCGCTGTAGTGAAACTTCCTGTGCTAACACGGCGAGCAGAACTCTAGCTTGGAGGGAAAAGCAGGGCCGCCCAAACAAACGTGACGCCCAAACTCCACCACGCCACTGTAATTTCTGCCTCTTGTTGTCAAGAAAAACTGCAAACAAAACTATGCAACGGATTTCTCACTACGATGGAGCAGGTGGAAGAAAATCAACACTTCTATAACACTTAAATTCAGTTTTATGATCATTTTATTTTGGCTGTGATGGTCTGGATCAGGACGGAGTGTGAGTGCAGATATTTTATTTTTTTAAGTACATCAGGACCGCAAGGTTGCACAACTGCATGTTGGTGCACAACTGCATGTTGGTGCACAACTGCATGTTGGTGCACTACTGCATGTTGGGGCACAACTGCATGTTGGTGCACTACTGCATGTTGGGGCACAACTGCATGTTGGTGCACTACTGCATGTTGGGGCACAACTGCATGTTGGTGCACAACTGCATGTTGGTGCACAACTGCATGTTGGTGCACAACTGCATGTTGGTGCACAACTGCATGTTGGTGCACAACTGCATGTTGGTGCACAACTGCATGTTGGTGCACTACTGCGGGGCCTCTTTACGACGGTCCGATATGGAAGCTCTGTTCCCTGACACAGTGTGGCTCTTGAGGTAATGGCTGAAGTGTTAGGTGAACAAAAGTAGGCCTGTCGTGATAAAAAAATAAATCAATTATTCGCATGATAAATTAAAATTTTCAACCTAATTTTCATTTATCGTCTTTATCGTTTCTTTGTGTCTCCCCCTTTCTACTGGTTGACATGGCTCAACTCCCAAAAGGCTCTTCACTGACCCCTCCCTTTCTCTTTAAAATCCCTTTTAATCGTCCAAAATCACGTTTTTGGATTGTTAAAAGCAGCTAAGCTGAGAAGCTAAGCTACGAGCTAAGCTAACTGGCCGACCTCGGGGGGGGGGGGGAAAACCCTACGTCTTGTCGAAGCTCCAAAATTCACGGTTGAAGCCCGTTCCTTTGTGCAAAAAGTTGTTTTTCCTCTGCAAAAAGAAGCTGAGAACTTTACTGTTTTTTTTTAATTATTTTTATTAAAAGCTTTGCTAAAGAACTCTTAACCACATCGAGTGCCGCCTTCTTGAGAACCGAAAAAAGGAAGGAGTGACAGCCCATGTCACGTGAAGGGGCCTCCCTCCCATTTTTCTTAGAGACACTCTGCTCGCTCCCTCACTATCCATCCTTCGGTTCAAACAGTCTTATACTGTCATCCAGTGGTCAAAAAAATGTACTTCACGCTAAAATTAACCAACATTTCTTCTTAAGTTTGACAGTAATTACTAACTGTTGTTAAATTTCAAACAGTATTATCGTTTATCGCAATAATTTCTGAGACAATTAATCACCCAGCAAAATTTGTTATCGTGACAGGCCTGAACATAAGCAGTGATAAAGTGTGATTTTGTGTTTGTGCAGAGAGAATTTAGCTGTGGAGTAGCTGGGTCCTACACCTCGTTTTTAAACAGAATTTACATACTTTTCCCACCCACCTGAACTCACGCTCAAACTTCTTCTTTTTGGCAACGTTAAATGTTGTTGGAGAAACAAAATGTGTATCTAGTGAGATATGTGATATGAAAGTGTACAGTGGTTATTAGCATAACAGAACTTTTATATTTTTCAATTTATTCAGAATGTTTCTCCCTTTTGTTCATCACACAATGTGTGTATTAGCTGGAAACACGACTTTTCCTGTTGGTAAAAGAAGGTTTCTGTAATGTGAGAGGACTTCTACGCACCTTACCTGTAAACCAAATCAAGTTATGGCCGCGTGAAGCTAAGATTTTGATGATTAGTTATACTGTACTGCTGAATCAGACGACAGCAACAGTGTCTGCAAATATTAACGCTGTAATTACTGAGGGGGAAAGTCAAATGACTTTCTGTACATACTGAATGTGTTCATTGCTGGATGAATTTGGAAGAACAAAGTGTTTTTAGCACAAAACTTGCAACTTCAGCTTAAAATTCACATTCAGGTACATTAAATGAATTAATTAACAATCCTGTATAGGTTTCAGTTGTATCTTCTATTTGTTTGATGAAGCTCTCCATCCTCCGTTAGGAGGACCAGTGGTTTATCACTCGTTTTTTTAAACGAAGCAGTCCTTACAGCCCTCACATTCATTCATTACAAACGAGACGTGGCGAGTCAGATGAGTGAAACTTATTTTTTTTCCTTTAAGAGGGAAGTGTGTATGTGTATATAAAGCACTTTGTGTTTGATTCTTATGAATAGAAATGTACTTGTTTCTTGGTTTCACCCTGTGGGGGTTCAGTGTTTGCCTAAGCAGCAGCTCTCGTCTTTCCTAAAACCAGAGTTTTGGAGAGCGTTTTCCGACTAGTCGCTAGAGAAGCTAAGCTGCGTGGCAACTATCTTTCACATCAACTTGTGTGTTTGAGGTAAATAAGAAATGCAGACAAGCAGTGAGATTTTGTGTTTACCTGTTGTCGCTGTAGTTTTGTTGCACATAAGTGGTCACAAAGTTCACTCCCACTGACTTAAGATTTTGGTTTTCTCCACAAAAAGTGTATAAATGAGGATAGTGAAGGAGTTGTCTTTACCCAGACAACAAGTTGGAGCGTGGTTAGATCACGAAAAGATTTGCTCTTGCTTTGTATTACACCCTCTGATTTTAAATCACAAAATTTAACCCCCCCACAAACAAATGATTTGTTTGAAAAACACAAAATCATGACAAGAGCACACTGAGCTATTTTTATTAGAATTATACTCAAACTCTTTAACTTGCATACTATGTATATGTTAAAAGCTTAACTGCGTTTAAGTGGAAAAATGAACGTGTATTTTTCATAAAGTTGTTGGTGTACAGACTTGTTATAAGGATGTGTTTAAAAGACTATTCTGTTTAATCGGAGCTCTATTTGGAATAGACTGAAACGGAGACATTTCAAGAGGTGCAGATGCACCTCGGTTTTACTGAAGCGTTTGATTTTAGTTTCATGGAAGTGGCTGTTCATGTCAAAGACACGGGAACGTATCGCCTGCATATTTTCTGAATTAGTGCAGTGGTTGCTGCAAAGTGAATTTGCTTCAGTTGTTTTTTTCTTAAAATTTTGCTGCATTTTTCTGTCAGCTTTATTGGAATCTGAGCTGAATGAGTGAACCGTGTTTCTCATTAAAAAATACAAACTACGAGGGTGAATCTTATGTATTCACCAGAATTATTGTCATAAATTCTTTAAAACTTCTGTTTACAGAGTTCTTTAAACTTCTTAGAAGTGTTGGCAGCGTTGCTCTTTAATTTGCTTCTTTATAGCAAAAACAAAACAACAGTTTTGTCAATTTTGATTTGTTGGTCACCTGTCTTTAAATTTAAATTGTTTCCAACATGTGGTCTTTTACTGAAATAAAATATTGTGACTGTATTTTTGTATTACTGATTTTATTAATTTACACTGAAACAACTTAAATTATGCAAATATTCCAAAAAGTGGTCATTTGTTAAAAAACAATTAAAAAACACATGAAAATGTGTAGTTAAACAGGACAGATCTGAATACATGTAATTCATTTTTATTTTTTTAAATGTAAAAGGATTAAAAGATATTGCTCAGAACCAGAAACAACATGATGATGAAGAGTTAAAAAACTGTTCACATGTCCATGTCTTCCAGAGGAACCTGTGATGTCACAACGAAAACACCTTTAGGTTGAACCAAACGTCCAAATCATAAACATTTCAACTGCAGATCCTAACAATCCTTTAAGGAATGCATATCACCCGCCACCTTTAATGGAAGAGTTTAAACTAAGATCATTCCATGCTGAGAAATCTCAACATTGCATCATATTCTACCTGTTAGTGGACGTATCAGAGATGCTACCACCGCCTGCACGGACTGAGTAAAACCGATGCAGTCGTCTGTACATCCATCCAATAATTTTATGAAAGTTTGTTTTTTACCTGGCCACTGGCACATGAAATGTTTTGCTAACAGACTGAAACACATAAAATATGGCGGCTGTGGCTGAGTGGTAAGAGCAGTGGTCCTCCAATGAGTTGGAGGTTTGATTCCACCAGTCATGTTGAAGTGTCCCTGAGCAATACACTGAACTCTTCATTTCCTCTGATGAGCCTACGAGTGTAATTTAAAGCACTTTAATATTAGTCTTTAAAGAGTGATCTATTCCAATTAGAGGTGTAGCAGAGCGCTGTGTACATGTGTGGGTAGGTAAATTCAATTCAGTTTATTTCTATAGCACCAAGTCACAACAGAAGTCGTCTCAGGACACTGAACAGAAATATTCATACACATAAAACGTTAACATTATTTATCTGAGGAGCAGACTGCTTTTGCAGAACTCTCATCTTCAGCAAGCATGAAGGCGACAGTGGAAAGGAAAAACTCCCTCATGAGGAAGAAACCTCCAACAGAACCAGGCTCAGGACAAGCGGCCATCTGCTTCGACCAGCTGGGTTTGAGCAGAACATGAAGGAGCAACAGATACACAATGGCAGGCCAAGAATCACATGTTAAGATAGAAATAGTATCAAATGAAAACGTCAATTTTAACAATTAATTTAAGGAAATTAGGTCAGTTTGTTCTCCAGTAGTCTAAGGCTATGGTAGCATAACAAGCCAACCCTAACTATAGGATTTATCAAAAAGGAAAGTCTTAAAACTGGACACGGTGTCAGCCTCACAGACAGAAACTGGAAGTTTGTTCCACAAGAGAGGAGCCTGATAACTGAAAGATCTGCCTCCCATTCTGCTCTTGGAAACTCTAGGAACCACAAGTAAGCCTGCAATCTGAGAGTGAAGTGCTATTAGGAAAATATAGAACAAGATCTGTAATATAAGGTGGAGCTAGGTTGTTGAGGGCTTTGCAGGTTAGAAGATTTTGAGTTAAATTCTGAATTTGGATTGAATTTGAAATTAGGGCACAGATTGTAAAATGCTTTGAGTGTCCTGGTTCAACTAGAAAGGCACTTAGTTCAGTTTCAGTCCATTTACAAAAATCATATAAACGTCATCGCCTGCATTTTGCTGGTGGACAATAATAAAAATTCAAGTAGGCTGTTAAGGTAAAGGCACCTCTTCGTATGTGATTCTCATGTACGGAGGTTTCATTGGCAGGTGCCAGTACTCATAGTTGTAGTAGAGGTAGAAGCTCTTGTCCAGCACAATCTTCTTGTAGGCCTCCAGCAGGCTGAAAGCCAGGTCGACAAAGGACTGGTGCGGCCTGAAATGGTGGTAAAACTCACGGATGTCCACCGCCAGGTTTTTCAGGGCGGGCTGTCCGAAGATGGCGCTGTCGTTGCCGAGGTACGTGGGCTCTCCGCTGTACAAGTAGATCTTGGTGTAGTTGGTCTGCGATCGGCTGGACAGTTTGGCTCCCAGCTCCCTCAGCTTCCTGTAGGTGCGGTGGACAAACTGGGAACAGTCGTACGACTCAAACCACACCGATGCGTTGGGGCTGGGGTCAGACAGAACCGTCCATGTCTCATAGTAGATCCCGGTCTCATTGTCCTCCTGCACCCAGCGGGCCATGCTGTTGAACTGGCCCCCTGCAGAGGAAAAGACTTCATCCTTATCATTCAGAGCCTCTTGACACCAATAAGAAAGTCAAAGCCATTATTTTCAGCTGAAATGGAAAATAACAGAAATGGTCTTTGTGTTTAATCAGACGGCATGCTGAGAAACAAGAAAAAAGAAATAAAATTTTAGTAGCTAACATTCATTTAACAAAAAAAAAGAGTTTATGGTATCCTATAATTCCTGCTTACAACACGTGACCAGTGTAGGTAAAATATACAGCATGTGTTGTATTTTACAATCACTTTTATTACCTAAATGCCCTTTTAGTATATTTATCTTTATTCTTTAAAGAAGGTAGGACATTAGAACAATTAATTATTAAAATTAAAAGCCTAGCATTCCTTGTTGCCCACCAGGCTTTAGACTAAGATTATTTTATGTTGAGAAATTACAAAGTTGTACTGTTGCTGTTTCGGTCAAATCTTAAATATAATGATCTGTAGTACTTGGAGTATGTTGTTAAGGATGACGATCAACTACCACTACATCAAACTTTAGCTAAATATATTTAAAGCTTGGTTATAGCAACTTTTGTGTTTTCTGTTAGTTGCTGTAGCAGCTATTTTGTGCTAAATCAGGTGGAGGGATGCATCTAATAATTTAGTTCTGAAAATTCTGTTAAAATCTCTTCAGTAATTTATATTTTGCCAACGCTGCACACAAATAAACACAAACACAAACAAACACACTGACATGGGAACAAACAGTATAGCCCATCACTGAAGGCAAAAAGGCAACAGAACCTCAGCAGACCACTGGGTGTGCCCAAAACGGTCCAATATGTGAGAATCTTTCAAACAAAGAATCTGAACCAATTTAAAAATATTAACTAACTAGTCAAACTAGTCATGAATGTCATCCATAATGGTACTTCTTCTAGTTATTTAACAGTCAACAATGGTGTGCCACAAGGCTCTGTCTTAGGATCCACTCTCTTTACAATCTACATAAATAATATCCTGATGCATGCTCAATAATCCAGGTAGAAAAATCCAAAAAAGTTCAATCTGGTCCTCTGGACATTCAAAAAAACAAAAACAAAACCAAGCAAAAAAAATCTAGAAACGTTTCGTCTCTCATCCAAGAGACTTCCTCAGTCTGAGGTGCTGTTTTCAGCTCAGTCTCTTAAATAGCACCTTCTCAGGGTGGATCAACCAGTTTGCTGCTGACAACCAAAACCAGCTGATCACATGCTCAAGAAGGACCATCAGCCTAACAATGGGTCATTAGCACACTGATGGCTGTTTACTACTCACAGAGGGCTGAGTGATACTAGCAATCACAGCATTGTAAGAGGGGGACAGTTGAACCCGGAGGCCTCCACCCCTGTTTAATGATGGACGATTTCTTTTCACAAAGATGGCCTCCTTTACTCCTCTCTCAAACCATCGTTCCTCTCTGTCCAGGATGTGAACATCTTCATCC